CTGGTGACTCCCGGAAATCCGCCAGGAGCAGATCTCGTCTCTCATTCAGATCTGCGAAGGAGCGCGTACGTGGAAGACATAGCTGAACAGGTTGGCGCCCGGATGGGACACGTGAATTAATTCAGGAAATCAACGAATGCACTCCCTGGTACAGCGCTAATCCTGTCAGTGTAGCCCGTGGCGAGACATTAGCCTCTGAGACATCAGACCGTTCCGTGTTTACTCTCATAACAAGAGAACGAATCGTTCGCTTATGAGACTTGGCCGATAGGTCATCGATTTCCCACATCGACGCGTAATTAAGCGACCAATGTTGGGTGCTTGCGCTCAAGTGTTGCCCGGCTCGCGTCTTCCGTGAGGGCTAGTGTGTCGTTTCTGTCTCTCGCTCTCTAGCCTGTTGTTCGGGCTCTCAGCGGATTAGCTGCGACAGACGTATCGTCATCGTCGAGTAAAGTCTTCTCTTCTTGAAGGAATGCTGACCGAGTGAATGAGACTATGGCTCTAGCAGACTCGACTCGGACCCTCGACTACAGCGCGTAGCATGTCGACCGACGGAAGCTGCTCCGTTCGCTTGTCGTTCCATCGTCGCTTCTTCTTGTGGAATAATCCGGGATAAGCCCGCTTCGTAGTAACAACAATGATAATGATGAGATCGTTGAACGTTGTTGTTTTTGTCTCCGTTGTTATCCCCGTTCCATCATCCCGAGTTTCTCTGGAGGAGCTCACATGTGTCTACTTTATCTCGATGATGTACTCGTGGAATCATTTCGATCTGTGATCCCCTCTCTCGCGGTTTCGACGCCTGTACTTAACGCGGTTTACTCGATCCATGGTCCCACTGATGGAACACAGGATGCATCGCTCACTCGATGGATGCGTCGAGTGACGTTCGCCAGCCGAGTTCTGGAGGAGTACAAGTTGATGAATCGCTCGATAGTTGTTCCGGAGAGCTGTTGAGGACGGATGAAGCGAACGATCACTTCTCTGCTCCGGCGGCGTAATGAATTGATACGTGACCGACGCAATGAGAGAATCCTCAGATGGGCAAACCTGATGATGATCACGATGTGGTCAGAGAGGGAATTGACGGCAACTGAACATGAATAACAGACATCCCTCGTTCCGCGTACGTCTTTAGACTCGCTTTGATCTATCTCCCATTCTATCCGCTCGGCGATCGATGTTCGTCCTTCGAATATTGAGCACTAACTGCGCGCTTGGTTCGAACGACCAATGACGGGAACCGACTCTCTGATGTTGATTGTCCCGTTCAGGCTCCGAATGGGGAGGCATTCATCCTCTGCGATGGTGTTCTCCTCGCCGCAGAGCTCCCGAGCAGCTCTGCACGAGTGGCTTCTTGATCGCGAGAGAATACGATTCGATTTGGGGAACTGGTGACCTTTTTTGCCGGAAACTCGAAAGGCTTGTCAGTCAGCCACCACGAGAGCAAGTGGCGCATATCGAGATCGTCGGATCAGACGAAGTTTCTACCAAAAGCTACGGTTGAGTAGGAACGAAGTGCCCGCTCACGAGGCAGGTAGGTCTAATGGGAAATCATGGAATCTAGCCGCGAATACAAAAGCGATTGCCGAACCGCAGCCGGGGACGTCGTAACGAACGCAGGGAGCCTGGACCGCGTTTATCATGCGTCTCGCTTCCCCCTATACGTCACGAGAGTCCAAGAATGAGTAAGCGAGTGGGTTCATACGCGATGGGAAGCGGCGATAATACCGTCGAAGATGGCGAGGATGGGAGCTAGTGGATCCCATGTGTTGAGGCACTATAGCCGTTCATGCAGATGGAGAGACGATGAAGGCGGATAAAAATGATCGCCGAAAGCTTTTTGGTACATTCGGAGGCTCGTAAAAAGAGAGTCGTTACCGACGCAGCGGCGGATCGACGTGAAGGAGCGAAGAGCTCACCTGCACGATGCCGAACAGACGAGGCGAAACCGATGCGGAGCTATCAGACAAGCGACGCCCATGTCAGGCTGGAAGTCTACGAGAACACATGGTGCGTAATTGTTTATTTATCCGGTGGAGAAACTCCGCGACAGAGTCGCGGCCATCCGCTCAGGAGAGGCGCGTCCGTTAAACGGGAGGGGATAGAGCCGTGGAGCGGGCCGATTCCTGGAGACCTTCGACCCCCTCTTCCCCGAAAGCTTGTCTATTATCCCGATTTCGGATCTCGAGGGGGAATGTAGGGTGAGACCTTCGTTCTGAGAAACTGTCGATCCACAGAGGCTATTCTAGTTTTCCTGGCGCTTTCAGTTCGAGGCAGTGCTCCCCAGGAGGCCGCGGCAGGCCCATCAAAGAGTCATGGTCGGAGTTCCGACTTTCCAGGGGTGGAGAAAGCTCCCTCGGGAGCTCTGAGCGGGAGATTGGTGCAGGGAAGGATTCTTATAATTTCGGAGACGCCTATCGCAGATAAACATACGCAGCGGAGGAACAACGAACGCAGCGGATCTGAGTGGCCAACTGTTGATCCTGCTTAATTAGGTCATCGAGGATTGGTCGAGGGCCGTGGTTTGAACCGCTTGAATGAGCTCGCTATCCCTGATACGCCTGGTGGTCTGGGATGCGATCAACGATTGAATCATGGACTCGCTCGAAGACTCTAATCAGTTTTCGGGAACACTGGCGGCTCAGACTACGGGCTGAGGAGAGGGATATCACATTCTGGGGGAAGGGGGAGAGCTTGAACCTCCAGCTCGAGGATTATATGACTCTGTTTCGGTTCTGAGAACCCTATATCCTCGAAGTCCTGATGAGAAATCTCGAGTGGATTCCTCGGAGAATCTCCCGGGGTTGGGCTGACCTAGCATTGCTCCGAAAATTGTTTCCTTCTGGAGCCTGGGTGAGACTTGTGATTCTTCGGGGGAGGTCCTCTCCTCTTCCGTGGAGGAATAGGAAATTCCTAAGGGAATATTTCACTAGCGGTCCTTCCCCCGTTGAGAGTCCTTCTCGCTCATACCCCACCCAGGTACTGTCGCTCCGATCGTTCCCACAGATGTTTCCTCGCCCAGGCAATTTACACCGGTTTTCCAAAGTCATCCGTGTCTCATGCAGGGAAGCTCCAGGAGACTTTCTCCACTTCCCTTCATGGATTCCTCGGGTGGTAACAAGAGCCATGAATGTTCACATATACATAGTCTGAGAGAAAAATCACTGCACCGTCGAGTTTTCTTGGATGAGCTCGTAGGGGAGAAGCCCATCCATCGAAATTCAGCAGTGTATGGAGGTCTTACCGAATGGATGGGGTCCACGGACGGACCCTACCCTCGCGGCGAACCCTTCCCTCGATACGTCTTCCAGTTCTTTGACGAATCTCTCCGGTTAGCGGGAAAGACCCAACAAAAAAGGCCAGGTCCGGCCATAAGGGGTCCCAAGCCCACGGAATGCGTGCAGGCTTTCGGAAGAACCGTCCTTTCATCTCGAAGAGAGAGACTGAAGGAGCGTTCGGATAGAAATCTCGCGGATCCACCGGAAATAAAAATTTCCCCGAACGGCGAATCGAATGGATATCTTCGCGAGAGCTTCACCTCCTGATGGAGTTCTATCTCGGGTTCCATGAATAGGAACTCGTTGACTGCCTTCGTGCCACCGTCCGCATCGCGACGTCGATTCCGCTAGGAGCCCATCGTGCCGTTTCAGATCGAGTGCGGTGGCCCCAGGGGCTCGAGCCTTGAGCAGCGAGGGTCCTAGAATCACCCGTTGGTGACAATCTTTCCAACTCCTGCTCCTGGTCCTCTTGATCTCTGCCTCTCTCTCCGAACGGACTTATTCACCTGTGGCGTGGAGCTATTAGGCCGTATTGACGCACCCGCGGGCCGCCACCTCCATCCTCCCGAGGCGAACTCTGGCTTTGCGTTTCTCAGGCCATGTCCAGCGCAGCTCCGCTCATGAGCGTGTCCCCGACTAACAACCGGTGTCAGAGACTTAGTTTGCATCTCAATTAGTCAGAACTTTAAGGGACCCTCTCACGCCGACTGGGGTTCGCAGGGGGAAGGGAGATAGAGAGGGGGGCAAATAATTGCTTCATTATCCACAACGAGATGGATTCGACTCGTTTCCATGCTAGAACGGAAGAGTACGATGCCGCTCTGGGGCCTCGAGTACATAGAGACAGTAAACGTGAGGTTTGCAGCAGTCGTTGCAGGAACTCATTGGGCGGGAGATCTCACGGCAGCGTTCGCTCCCTGTGGCGTAATGTGAGTGAATCAATCTTCAAGTTGTTTCGCCTCGTGCTCCGGAGAACGCCAGATGGTGCGGCGCTTCGTTTTGGGACGTTCCGAGAGCGGAAGTCAGCAAGGGTACCCGGTGGATGTTTCCAGTAACTTTCGCGGAGTGAATAATTCATCGAGATGCAGCGATCAAATCAACCCCACGCGTTTTTCCTCGCTGCAAGAAACATTCACCGTGAGCGCCCACGTAATGGCTCCACCGGCTCGCTCGTTTGACTCGAACATGTTCCCCCCGCAGAAAGTGAGGAGCTGACGAAATGGGCGGGACGAGAGGCTCGATGCTCCGAGATATTTATTCGTTCATGAATATCCCCGTAAGTCCAAGGGAGCTTCCCCACTATCTGTTCACCAGAGTTTCACTTCGTTCCCAAGTAATCTGAGTGAGTCGATTTCACGGACCCGGTGAAGCGATTCTTTCGTAACGCCCTTGCACCGGCGGTTGTGTTATTATGGCAGGCGCAAATCCCGCGGAAGGATGCAGCTGTTGGACCAACTATTAGGAGCCGCGATGATTTCCAGATACACCGCCGATGCAGCAAGGGATTCGTCGGACGGATCATATACCGAGCGGAGCCGAGGAGATTCGACATTTTCTGATGAAAAAGAGGAACGTCGAACGTCCGACGGCAACGTCGGAAAAGAACGATCCACTCCGGATTCGGCAGCGGGCCCCGTGACAACTCTGTGGAAAAGCGAGCCCCGCGTCGTCCGGAGAACCCTGGCAATGTACACTGACTTCCGATCTGCTTTCGAAACAATGCCCCACGAACTGCTCACCTCTGTACTACCGGCCAAGGGGGTCGGGACGAGACTGACCAAGTGGATCTCGGATTTCCTATCTGAGAGATCCTTCGAGGTGAAGATCAACGACACACTATCGAGGAAAGGCTTCGCGACCACAGGGTGTCCCCAAGGCACTGTCATGGGCAGCCTGCTATTCTCTTTCTTTGTTGATCAGGTGAAACACGTGCTGGACGGACGAGTCAGCTTTTTCATTTATGCAGATGATATCAAGTTGGTGAAGAGCATCCGCTGCGTCGAGGACTGCACAGTTCTACAGTCTGTACTCGACGATTTTCATGTTTGGAGCGAAAAGATGGGACTCCAACTATCGACCCACAAATGTGGGGTGATGCGCGTCGGGAATCGTGCCCCCCCTTTCCGTATCGGATTGGTGGTGACACACTCGTGCAACTCGACACTGTGAAGGACATCGGTGTTATCTTCGCGCCGTCTCTGAATTTCACTGAACACGTCACATCACTCGCTACGAAGATCTCTCGACTGTGCGCCTGGATCATGAGAACCTTCATTGTGAAAAACCCAGCGGTGTACTTGAGAATGTATCGCTCGCATGTCATTCCTATTCTTATATACGGATGTGTTATCTGGAATCCTCTGAGAAAGCTAGATCTTGAACGTCTGGAGATTATCCAGCGGAGATTTGTACGGCAGGTCAGATATAGGTGTGGCGTAGGCAGCGATGCCTTTGAACTGTGCAATGTTAGTGAACTACTCGAAAAATGTGATATTGACTACCTCAGGCGAATCGTCAAGCTGGAGAAATTGTTCGACGAGCTTTTCACGCTTCACTCGAGAAATACTCGTCGAGGCTTTGTGTTCTATCCGAAACAGAATGCGCGTTCCAAGCTAGTCAACCACATATACCCGTGGAGAATCAGCTCTGTGATAAATACAACGTAATAAGCTTACCCCCCATCTATTCAGAAATACATGAATAAATGTGTGTCACATCAAATGTGTCGGACGGGAAACATTCGGAGACTTTCGCGCATACATGCACGGCAGCTCCTTCGGGAGATCGTTTGTGCGGGAGAGCTCCTCAACATCCTCGTGCGATCGGGACGACGGGGAATCGGGGGCTTCGGGGTCCGAAGAGATCCATGGAATAAAATACTAAAGGTTTCCGAGAGGTATCTCGAAAGAAGCAGCGCACGAACCGATCGGTTGTAGAGCCCCGCAGGTGTTTCGCCACGCACCCTTGTTGTGACGGCAAACGGTTACATTCGGTCGAGCGCTCGGTGCCGTGGAAGTGCGCTCCGAGCATCGAAGGATGGTATAGTTGAAAAAACGCCCGATGCGCCATCAGTGCGGTTCGCCTGCTCGCCGGAGCTCTCGCCAGCTCTCCGGCTTTCTTGCTCGGCTGCGTGTCCGCTCTTTTCACTATAATTGGCCCTTCGTCTTCCCATGGTGCAGCTAAGGGGAGAACTTCTTTCGAACACGGGCTGGCTGCTGCTGTTGTCGTCGTGGCGGCGGTGGTTGTAGCAGCTGCCGCTGCTGCTGCTGCGCAGAACCAGCTGCTAGTTATCTTTGAGGTCTGGGAGGGGATGGCGGGAAGCAAGAAGGAAAAAACACACGCCGCCACTCGGCCCCTCACTCGGGAGCTCCGAGAAGGTGAGCGTGTTCGTCCATGCGTTCGTCGGTCGGTCTTTCTGTCGCTTGCTTCGTCCGTTTGTCCAACCGTCCGTCCGTCCACCGGGCCATGAGAGGCAGAAGCTAGCCGAATGCCAACGCCGAAGACAAGAAGACGACAGTGCCCGAGGCCACAATCCTGCAGTATAACAATAATTTATGGCTTGCTCACACCGGCGGTCAGTATCAAAGCGGAGCGCAGGGAAGAGGGAGGAAATGAATAATAACGAGAGACAGGATGGGAACCGAAAGCTTCCGCTGCTGCTGTCCACCGGCTTTGAAACAAGCAAGTTATGTCGTGTAATAATAATTCGCTTTGACTCGTGCGCTTTGTCATACAGCAGCTTTCACGAGTCGTCTGCCGGGACGGCCGACAATTCCCCGCGATCTCAGAGTCGGAGGTCCGATGGCCGACCCCAGGTCACGCTCGCGTAGCGTTTGAGTTCTGCATCGATTTCTGTCGATTAGGCTCACCATGCTTCTCTCCAAAAGTAACTTGATAGATATCGCTTTCGGCACGATTTATTGGTCTACGGCTCGGAGGAGCGTTTTAAGGTACAGGGTCTTGGGGTAAAGTTGGCGTACACTCTATGGGAGGGGTTTGAGAATCAGTTGCGTTCCGATTTCCTCATCAGTTTCGGATATACGCTCTGAGTGAGAGGCGTGAGCTCGGGAAGTGGAATAAAGCGAAACCAGATCTGTTTCCTCATGTGGATCACACTGATGACTCGCACCGAGGAATAAGTCCGGTTGGAGGCGTCACAAGAGATATTGAGGGCCTAAAAGGGCAGCATCGCGTGATCGGGCCACAAACTAAGTCTCAAATGCTGGGAGCGCCTTCAGCTTGCCCCAAGGAACAAGTTGTTCATGGGGGCGTGCGTGTCGGATTTTGGGATTATTGTAGAGCCGGGAATTCTCGGAGATCAAACCTTCGAGGAAAACACCTGATCTTGTCATGAACTGACCACGAGCGGTGAATTTTTTTGAAGTTTACGCTGAAGAGGGAGATCTATTACTAGGAGAAATGCAGACCCAAGAGCTCTCTGGGATTCCAGTCTCGAAGGTGGTGACAGTTTCCTTCTGAGATAAGGGATTGGATCCATCATCCGGAAATTCAGGTGGAAGGTTTCACCAATGCTCACTCCTTCCCGCATCCCAGTCATAGCGGGGAGAGCGATTACGAAATCTCATCCAGCTTCCGTGGGAGGCTCCAAGGAAGAACGCTTCCTTCAAGAAAGCTTCGGGGTCGGGCCCGACAGTCCTCTCCCTGTCAATAAATATTCAATCTATCTGAGGAGATGCCGATGATTTCCGCCGAACTCGCACCGGTTGAGGGTTCATCCCGTCCTCAAACCGTTGGCATCGACCGTCCGGAATCTGGCAATACATATAAGACTGCTCCGAGTCTCATTTACCGCCCGGGATATTGTTCGTTTCCGAAATCTCAGCGGGCGCTACAGCCGTCGGTCAGATGATTGCGCCATCTCAATCGAGTGTCTTGGCTTCCAATAGTGCTCTGCTGGAGGCTCTACGTAGTCCCATACGCTATAGAGAAGCAGGCGAGTTTCAAAGCTCATCTCCGCTAGCCGTTCATCTAAGGTCTGACGCTGTGGTCGGTGATGATTCTCGCCGAATCCGGCGCGGGATTCTCTTCCAAAACTCTTCCGGACCTCATTCTCTACGCCGGATCGAGCGTTCTCAGAGTCCGAGAACGCTTTCAGTTCCCTTCCGATGGTGCAGTTCCCAACGCATCTGTTTTGGGAGTGAGCCCGCTGTGCTGTCGTTGCTCAGGTATCTTGAGCTCTGCGATCGGCTCGCCGTCCCGGCTCGCGAGCGGAACCTGCAACTGACGCCGCGCCGCTCCTTCCGAGGAGGGCGGAAGGGAGCGTGGTGTTCTACTGCGCTCTGGAGCCTTGGACCGGGTTCCAGACGGAATTTCCCCGGACGGGGAAGCGGCGCAGAGGACCCGCGCTGCCAGCTGCTCGAAGGGAGGCACGCACAGTCAGGCACGACTGCAAGCTCGCCAGTCGTCGGTGAACCATCATTCAAAAGAGAACCGGAAGCGGAGTGGGAGTCGGTCAAAAGCGACTCTCCCGTAGCGAGGACCGCTTTGATTCCTTCATCGTCAGACTGCTCGTGCCGCGCCGCCATCGTGCCTTCCTCATGAGCAGGGAACTCAGATTCCCTCTCCTCGGCTTCTTTTCCCCTTTCGGAGGAAATCGGAGCTTGATGCATAGGCGGTAATGCCCGACTTGGATCCCTCTGATCGTTTGGCAACGTGCGCGGAATCGGATTTCGTCATAGAATGCGACGCTGGCTCCGAAGTAGTCGACGACCGACTCTCCCCACACTTTTGAAGCAGCCTAATTGAGGCTCGCCTTCATCCCAATGTCTTGCGACGAAACTTCAAGGAGTGCCAAATCGAATTGTCTCTTTTAAGGCAGTCTAGCGGTTTTCTCGCTCCGGAGGGATACGTGGACGCCAGTCTCGCGTTTTGAGTACGTTCGTGAGCAACCTCGGCTCTTCGTCAGACCTGCTCAACCGCTCGCTCTGAGATAAGCTCGGGCGGTTTTCGGTCTCTTAATAAGGACGACAACGCGGCGCGAGATAATGAAAGTGTTTGGGCCTATCAACAGACTCGCGGGTCTCCGCGGTAAGTCGGCTCGATGTCCGCGGAGCGACGAATGTGAGGGAAGAGGACGCTCCGGCGACAGCGAGCGTAATGAGCATCCATAGGCTGCCGTCAGACTCGGTGGGAGTCCCAATCGCTGTTGAATGCCATCCAGGAATGTTCATGTACGATCCATGAATATTCTTCGCTGAGTTCACATCTGTCGGCGGCACCGCTTCCTGTCAGAGTCGAGCTCCGAGGGACCAGCTGAAGGATCGATGCATCCCCCAAAACCACTTTCCCGCATCAAACCTTCCCAAGGTCTCACTATCGATGGATGAGGCTGACTGAGTCCGTCGCGATTCCTGGGAACCTCCGAGCCCGTGCCGCGACGCTCCGACCTAATTCAGAGCCATAAAACCGTCCCTCGATGACAATTTTCTTCGACATTGACGACGTGATCGAATCATCGCTTATATGATACACAGAATCACGAGATCACGCTCCCCGTTAGGAGGAGTTCTCGTCGAACGACTTGCTGAGGTCATTGACGCACCGAAATCACCCGGTTCCTCATGAAAGGGCATTCAACTGCGAATAAGGGGGACCCCAAGGGATCTCTCGATCTCAAAGGATTCTTTCGTCTCTTCGTAGGAAATAGCCCTAACTTGAGGACACCGATCTATGACTCCGTGACATCTGCCATGTTGCTTCAGTCGCCGCGATCGATGCTTTTTGTGATAGAGAGAAGTGCTCACGTAGTCCTCAGCGCTGTCTCGAAGCTCTTCGTCTCATGAGTATCTTTGTGCTAGCTTTACTCAAGCTGGACCATTGTCCAAATGAGGAAAAAAGCGTTCGGATCTAACACATATGTACATCGCTCCCCATTGACGTTCCGAGCCAAGTAGAGTCGCTTTTGAAGGGAATGCTTGCTCGAGCCTGCGTTGGACTCCCGACCGATCACAACATTTGCCCCGATGTTGGCTGGAGACGTCACCTCGCCCTGAATGGCTTCACAAATATAGCTTCTCGTATACTCAGCCTACGCCATGGTCATCAAGAGAAAAGAGGAGTCAGCGTGGATCTGGAATATGAGCGAAAAGTATCATTCCGCAGCCAAGCACAACGGGAAGTTCTCCTGCAACCCCCGTGGTCAGGTATCGGCCGTCGTGGAAACCGTCAGGCCCTTCCTCGGGACACGTTTCGCTACATTTCCTCAGACATTTCGCCCTGTAAGGCGACCGGGGATAAATCGGCTACACGGTCATCTTCCTTCTATTTCCCTCGGTCTCCGGGTTCTGATCTTGTCTCGTCGTCCGGGAGCCCTAGCCTCACCGCAGTCGACGGAGTCGCCGCTTCAAATAAATCAAAGGGTGCTTCGGAGCGGTAGCCTATCGGACACATTCCGAGAGCAGTCGGAACCGTGGGCAGAGGAAGAGATCCCAATTAGCGCGGAAAATACTCAGCTGGACCTTCTTTCGTCGTCGTATGAGAGGGACATCGACGGCTCGGTCGAAGTGACGACGAGCTCCGGAGTCCCCCCGGAAAGACTACGTCCCTCCGCTCTGCGTGTCGGCAATCGTTGTAAGGGTGCTTCTCGTTTTTGCGTCGTGCTGCATTAAATCTAATTATTCGTCGGTGGGAACGTTCCCGTTGCTCGTTTCCAGTTGTGGGCGTGGGGGCCGTCGTACGTCGAAATACACACGATAAAGGGTTGCGGGATGATGTTGAGGGCCGCTCTTGTCGACTTCATTTTATTTCAACCGCGGGTTCGAGTACGTCCGTGGAGAGGACGTTCGCTTCCGTTGTCCTCGGCAAGCAATTCTAGGGGGTTCCCTCGGCCGTTTTCATTTGGAGACGATTCCATCAGAAACCGAGGACAGCCACGAGTATTTGTTCTTTGTATGTCTCGGAAAGCATCGCACAGCGCTCCCTTCCTCCCGACAGACTTCCGATAGATTCGACTGGCTCTAATTGAGGACCCATCTCGGTCTAATTGTCACCGCGGAGTTCATTTTCTCCCGTCACGTTCCGGTTCACGCTGAATACGTTCGACCCTCTACAGCCATCTTACCGCCTTCACTTGGCTTATTATTCCCGCATTGTCCCGGTCGTATTGGTTACTTTTGGCATCGTTTGCAACAATGCCTCAGTCTCGGACGGTCGGCCTCTCGTTTGTCCGCGAATAATGCCGAGTCGCTCCGAGTGACTTCTGCCGTTCTGTCGGGTGACAATCTAATTAAGTCCGACAGCAGAAAGAGCTCGTTGCTCCCGCCGCCACCCCTCGTTGTTGTTATTCCCCGCTGGAACCGCAGCGCAGCTACTTCCATGACTGATAATGTTTAGCTCAGCGAGTCCTAATCCAATTATATCTCGGAAAGTGGTCTCGGAAGACTGGGATTCTGTTGTAATACGTAGATGGTCCTCGGGAGAGAAGAGCAGAGAGGACCGGATAGCATTTGAAGCGCAGAATAAACAGTTGGTCCGCGTTGTTTTCCGCGGTGAGCCAGAACGACCGCAGCGACTCCGGAATCGCTCGCTCTACGGAAAACGACAGCGTAATTGCCTGAAGCTTGCACATCAAGGGGGAGAAGGAATCGGAGGGACGACCGTGCCGTGATTTGATTCGGTCGCAGGACAAGCTGCTAAGTCGATTGGAATCGCTGAATCAATAGCGGTTCCTCTGTACAACCTCTCTCGTGGCTCGGCAGCGTCACCTCCTTCTTTCCCTCCTCAACGTCGAAGAGAGGAAACGGAGTTTGGGCTCGCTGACTGTGGCAGGGTATAAATCCGAAAAGTCGTCCGGAATTTATGCAGATTACGATTTGAGGTTCGGAAGACGTGTGTCGATGTCAGACCAAGACAATGTGAGACCATTCGTGGATGGCTCGAACTGCCGTGCCCGAGAGTGATCTTTCTCTGACTATTTGACGGGTCCGCTGACTGACTGGCTCGCGAGCGCGCGCTTCAGACACCGGCCCTATACTCCGAGGGACAGTGCCGGATTCCGTTTCTCCTGGCAAAATGTACACAAACGACGAGTCCTCGGCGAACGCATGAGTCTCGACTCTATTGTCGCTCAGAGAGAGGAACCGATAGGCTGAGGGAAGGAACAAGGGAAAAACGGCGTGGGAGAGATGGGCTCTGACGTCGATGAATCCGCTGGTGCCGCTGTTCACCGATCCGTAATAACCCCCGCTACACGTCAACTCCAGAGTCAGCTCGGGGTATAACGACGTCATTTCCCGATGTTTCATGAGTTACTTTTCGGATGAGTGACGGAGCCCCGTCCCGACCGGAAGTTTGGGATCACATCGACGCGGGGAATGGGCGAAAACTCCTCCGTTTTTCGTACATCACGGCATGTTTGCGCTGAGCCAAAAAATTGATTGAGCTTCCCGTGCTGGGTGCTGCCTGCGAAAAATCTCATCAGGAGGGATACCTATTCTCAGAACTAGTGATGAACGATAATAAATCGTATCTTCGACCCCAGTACCTTCCCTGGTGTATCTGCTGGCAGCGTGTTTCGAATGGAGAGATTGGGGAGAGGTAGGACGGGAAGAGAGAGCCATAGGCCTGGCTCCGCGAGTTCGACGGGAAGAACCGGAAAATATTTCTCGGATGGAAGTTTTCTGCGGACCAGAACCGGAATTAGCTCGAATTTCAGGATAGCGCTGTGAGAATGCGAGGAATTAACGACGTGATCGACCGTTTCAGTTGAATCTCCAATGCTCTTGGGCGGCGGTAATGGACGATAGAGCGGCGGGATGGCCGAAAGACAGCTGGATCAAGCCGGAGCAATCACAAAACGAAGTTGGGCACCTCGTCGACGACGACAACTTCGTCAACAATCACAACGCACTTCGTTCGGCCAATCCGTTGGGTAGAATAGTGGCTGCCATTCTGCGGCCGCTCCATGCACCGCTCACGCACGACCCTACGCACCGCCGCATAGACGCCGCCATAGCAGCAGCTGCCGACGCATTAACGACCTCTAACGATGGACTTGTAGAGCCCACTCTAGGTGAGTCCAGAAATTCCCAGACTCATGGATTGGTTCCCTTCCTGATAAAGATCCGGAGAATTCCTGATTTTCCCGGGCGTTAGGCCCGCGTTCATATGGATAAAAATACGACCTAAAGAAGAACGGTCACAGGTGGTCAAGACGTTGCGACCACGGTGAACATATACGGCAACACGCTGAGCCTAATCGAAGCGAAACACGCTGTCATTTTCAGCGACCACCACGTCCCACATAGTCGTAAGTGAGGGACCCACAGCAGGCGTATTGAACGCTTCCGCCACAGCCCGCCCTACCGTCCACGTCGCGTACAACGACAACGCCAATAGCTGGTGGAGAAACTTCATACCGAGGTAGAGCAACAGAGGAATATTAGCCCGATTGTTAAGGCCAGGAGAAAGGCACAACAGCTGCTCGCACGGCATTCGCCAGCTGCCGATAGGTGCCTGTGCAGGTGCTTTAGCCCAGACTGCAACAAAAGATTCTTATTCATCTGCCGGTCCCCGGCAAGCTCTTTCTCGAGTGCTCCATTCGGATCCTTGATTCGCTCTCGCTGCCGTGGGGGTGTGATACGGAGCTCGACGTATTCAATTCGTAATGAATTCTCATTTAACGCGGATGCTTTTTCTGTGCTGTTTGCAGGCCAAGCATGACGCCCGAAGAGGTTCGCGCTCAGTACTACGCCACGTATGACCCGATGACAGGCGTCCGCATAGCCGCCACACTGGGTGCCATAATGAGCCTCTTCGCCCTGTTCCTCATATTCAAGGCTAGATGCAAATCCATCCGATCCAGACTCAACCTGTGACAGCAGCGGCTGCCAATCGAGCAATGCATTCGTCCATTTCCACAAATGCGCGAACCCATGAACACGCACCAAGCTCTCCACGAAGCGACGACGAATACATGTCGTTTATTTCTGCCGAGGATTATCTCCATCGAGTTCGGCAGTCATCGGATGCTGGAGAACCGCGCCGCTACCACTAGCTGCCTTCATGTCTTCTTCTCTATCTTCCACGTCGTATGAAGAACCTCTGAACGACCACCGCCATGACCACTTCCACCACCGCACTCCGTGCAGCACGGAACCCTCCCGCCGTCTAGAGGGGCGCGTTTCGAGAAGTAGACTCGGTTCGAACAAGCAAGCAAAGCCAGCTATTCGTTTGTGATACATGGTCGGTGAGGGACTCGACGGGATGAACGTTCTTCAAGTCGAGCCCGCCCCGTCCCGCCTATTGCTGTCGTGCGAATCCTCCCAACTCTGGAATGAAGCTATCGATCACCATCCCATAGGGAGCATTCATCACGATGGAATCTTGTGGACGAATTGTGACCTCTCATCGGCGTCGAACCGTGCAGAGTGATAATAATGCTTCCCCTCAAAGAGGCAGCAAGCTGAAGCTCCTTGCTACAGTCGTCGACGGCTCGGGCCGATTCCCCGATTTCCGGGGGGAACGTTCTGGGAGGGAGAGACGATGGGTCATCTTGTACCAACGTCAAGATTCTTCATCATAGCGTTGCGAGAACGAAAAAGAGTCCGACGGTAGTTTGTTCTTCACGTTAGTGCCGCCAAACCAGCGCGCCATCAGCTCTAGTTCAAACAATGATAATTTTTGCGATGCTTCCACTGAGTGATTGTATGATGTGGGCAGATCCTGCCCGTTGCGTCGATTGCGAGTTCAGATCTCGCTGTTTCAGCAAATAATAGTCAACCGTGATTCCCCCTGTCGTTAGTCCCAAACGTAGAGCTTGGACCGTGAGCAGGAAGTTAGAGCCAAACCACGTGCAGTGAGTTGTTTGTGTGTCCGTAAGAGTTGGAGGTGTAACCTAGTCCCGTTATTTCCTGGGGAATGTTTTCGATGAATGAATGGAGTCCGTCGCAACCCGATCTGGCAATCAATGTTCAATATTTCCCGGGTTGGAATGAAGTGTAATATTTGGCACGATCACACTCGGATGTGACCGTTCTGTCTGTGTATCTATCGCGCGGACTCTCGCTCGCTCCCTCGGAGAGCCTGTTTGAGCCCATATCTGACGTAATGTAGTTTGTCGCAGAGACGGAGGGCCATTTCGCCGCATCAGATCAGCCATTATTCTTATGAGGACGCTGTTCCGAACCGAACGCCCACTTCGGTTGTTTCGAAATGTTCGGCTCGTTGCTCGTCGCTCACCACTGCGTAGAAGAATAAGCGAATGGGTCACCGAGCTGCCATCCAACTAGGCAGGCCATGCATTGGCCGAGCAGCGTAGACCAGGAGGATTGTTTAGATTCCTCGGAAATATTCAAATTCCGGAGAGATCCTCAGACTTCGTGGTAAAGATCAAACCACAGTGGTCCATTTCCGATAATTGTGTACTTTTATGCCCCGTTTTCCAGTGTTCATATGTGATATTTGATTAACTTTCACCATGCGCGATATTTGGATACTGTCTACGGACACAATTGATAGCTGACAGGAGAGGGGGACGAGATGTAGATAGAAAATCAGAATAGCATTGATGTTCAACAATGCAGCAATGCAACAATTCAACCTCACTAGTACGGACGGTAATGAATAAAGATGCGACACTTCCCTAAAAAAAGTGGTTTCCTAATTATCCGTTCTGGGAGTGGGCTTCGCAGAGACCTGCGCCTCCTCGGGAGTAGCTCACAGTCGTACCCGAGTGCATGCCGTGGGCCAGTACCTGGAAAAATTGACTAGAAGGAGTATATCAAAGCCACGAGTAACGCAGCTTGCTCGATCTTCGTCTCGTGCCCCGTCCTCGGCTCTCATTCGAATCATTGCTCATGGACGATCATGAGTCTACGATGGATAATCCCGTGAGAGGATGACGACCAAGTCTTCGTCGTCCACGCCTCAAACTCGCGGAAGCTGCTTCCCGGTCAGAGCTGAAGGTTTCTTTCTGCCGCGAATCATCCGTGGCTACCAGAGCAAGGACGAGAAATACACAGATTTCAAATCTGAGCGTACACGGAGGATACATCTTAGAATTCCTATCTCACAGGAGAGCGGTGGATGCTTCCCATGAATTTAGGCCTGCCCCACCCTCTGGTAGATGACGCTATGAACCCGGAGACGATTCTCGATTCGAGAGATTAATGGCGATCCAAGAGTATCATATGAACTCTTCATCGGTCCCTAGCGTGCGCAGTACCTTCACCCGTGAGGGGAGAGAATCATGGCGGAGGGACCGAGCCTTGCGATAATCACGAGTGTTCAGCCGGAGGATTGAGATCCTGAGAGGGTTGATTACGTCGAGCCCCCGCGTCTATCGGGAGCTCTGAATCGATTGTTGTCGAGATGTCTGGAAGGTCCTCCGTTATGAGATCATGGATATTCTCGGTGCAGATCGGAGTGCAAGCTATCGAAAGCTCTCCAACAGCTCCGAGACTTTTCAGGAATGTCGGACGAATTTCCTACACCGTTCGGACGACTCGATTGTCCGCAGATTCACATTTTCGATGGATGTTGTTGCACGGCAATGTAGTCTTCCCGGAGATGATCGTGCGCGTCCTTCAGGTTTCGAAATGCATTCCCGGAAGCGGGAGTCCGGAGTCTTCCCCGAGCTGGGGCTCAAGCTCAATTCTTTCGTTCTCCGGATGCAAGGTCATCGCCATGAATCAAGATGGAAGATCCCGGAAATGAGAGATGCTCTGATATTTCACGTAAGTATTAACATCGGAGGAGAAACTTCGACTCGGAAGAAGGACACGCTCGAAGCATCGTCCTCCCGGAGGAGATATCCGCGTGGACCTGAGCTCCCTTCTCGGGCTTCTGGAAGTCTAGATAAACTGAAGTCCTACGCACGGATCGCGCTCGCGAAGGCACGTGTTGCATTGCATGTTCAGCCTAGAGAAACATCTGTTCCTTTTCAAAGTCGCTTCACCGGAGCGGACGTTGCGCCCGATCCTTGCTACAGGGAAGAGCGTAGCTCGGCCCGGTATCATTGCCAAGCGACTAAAATCGGTAACTCACATCGGTTCTTCGAATCACCCTCAGGGAAACTCTCGAATCACACTGGGAGGATGCGGTCGCAACGCCCATTTGTTTACCTGGATTCTCTTCTAGAAAGTATCTCATCGTGTAAGTAGGGTCGCACAAATGAATGGCTGAGAAGAGAACCTTTGAGGAGTCATGGATAAGGTCCCTCTTGAATGCTCCCGATCCCGCAGTCTCCCTTGTTCCTTCGGCGAGAGGTCACAGAACATGAGGAGTACCCTTCTGTCCGGAGACGATTGCGCTGCATGTCTCCCGGCTGCTCGTGTGCACCGAAAACCGAACCGATGAGAGGGCAATCGACCTCAGAAAACTCGCGGGGGGTTCTCACGATGACTCGAATGACGCACGTTCGACACGCATGAAAAGGAAACGGCTGGCATCGTTTGTGGTCCAGCATCTGTATACGCAAGCTTTCGTCGGCCATGTGCGTTCGGTGGCGTGCCCCTTGAGATGCGAACAGGCGACCTTGGTGCGCATACTTAGGTTCGGCACGCTGCCAATAGGAGCTGTAAAGCTGCCAAACCAGCCCCCGGTCGCTTCTCAAATGTGGAGCCACACGAGATCGAAGCTCGCCGGATTCTTGAGAACAGCACAAATATTAAGGGCGTGATAATTTCGATTCCCGAACTCATCATGATTGACTCATTTAGAAAAACCCGAAACGACACTCTGCGATTCCCTCACAAGAGCTCTGGAGTCGCATTGGTTGCAGACTCCGCTCCGAAATCACGTGGATATGATCCTTACCAAGCATCTAGGAACAGTGATGAACTTCTTCCGGGAGACATACCTCGAATTTGATTTGAGTTGTTTCCAACTCCTCTCTCTTCAATCATGATTCCCGACAGAGTGACCCAACAATCAAATAATGATTTGCAAGGGAGTCTGGCCGGGTCGATGATGAGGAATAATCGATTCTGTCCATTGAAGTACCTCCTCGAATGTTTCCCCGCGAAGATTCCCGATCACCAGATCCGGATTTCGCTCTACTTCTGAGACGCCCGACTCCAATTTCGGCTACTCCAGTGGAGTCGACCGTTTCCTGTTGAGAATATCGAAGGTCAGACCGGAGCATCGCTTCTTGGGTGCGCGAAGTATTTTCGGGACGGATTTGAGATTTGGAGCCCTCTGGGTAATCCCAAAGTCTGATCAGAGACGCCACAAACGATTCCGGAAATGATTACAGGGGGGCAATCGAGCCCGATTTTCCTTCTCCTTGCATCTAATGAAGACGGATGGGAACTAATTGCCTTCTGATTCCCTCCTCCTGGAGCTTGATCTGAAGGACCCTGCCTACACCTTGAGGATGTAGGCACCCTAAATATCGAGTACGGATAGGCGAGTCTCGTGGGAGAAAACCAATATGCCTCACAGGGTCCCCCCTCTCGCCTCCGTTCCGCGCGTCACATTGGAGTCCAATTTTCAATGCCTCATCCTTCTTCGCCTGAGCAGAGGCTCCAAGTGAAACCGAGCCATGCGTTTTACGTAGGCTCGGGCAATCATATCACTCCCCGATGCAGCTAGTGCGGTCTCACACGACGCACGTCTCATTTCCACAATTTTCTAACACGGCCAAGTGTGGGTGGTATTCCGGTACATTCCAAGATAGCTTGACCGAGTACATAGTACATAGTATGCAACATTCCGTCATCTCGCTATTAGAGTTCGGATATTCGCCGCTCCTGCCCCTCAAGCCAAGAGCTGGGTCGCTCTGGAGACCGTGTGACGGCTCATGCTTGATGGGGTCTCGTGCACGGCCCGTCATCAGTCAGGTTCCGAGGGCTGTCCGTTCGTATGCAAAGGTATCGAGTGGTTCCGAGAGGAGGTGAAATCAACGGCTCGTTCAACAGCACCACGAATGGCAGTGGCATGGTCTGTTTTGATCGCTGTAAATTCGAGGGTAAGTTCCTGCGATTCGACCTGTTCCCTCAAGCGATTTTCTCCGGGATCTCGTAATGTAGATTGCGACTGGAAAGGATGATTTTGACGTAGAATCACGTCATTGCGCTCGCTAGAGGTGCCACATCGGTGAACACCTCGCGTGACGGAAGTGACCGTTTTTATGTCAAAAAGGAATCGGCGTCAAAAGACTCGGAAAATCTGTCTCAAGGTTGGAAACCTACGAACTAAGCTCGGCATCCATGTAAGCAACTTTCTGCGCACCCCTGTTTCACACAAAAGATCCCATTACTGAGAGCACCGGAAGCGCGCGAGGAGGAGTAGAAATTCAAAATTGATCGTATGGCGCTTGGCGTTCACGGTGTCTACTGTTCTGGCTCCCTGGTAGGCTGGGTCAATGATTGACGGGTCTTTGAGTGGTGGCATAAGGTCGAGCCCTGCTGTTGTGGAATTATGCAGTTTTCCGAAACCTCAATCTCTGTTTCTGCGGTCCAGTCCAGAGAAGTTCCAAAACTCCCGCCACGATGTGGACCGCTCAGTATTTCCCTGTAGACAAAATTCGTCATGGATTCCAAACTTGAGTGCTGCACACCAAGCACATTGCTCTCAACCGTGTCACAAGTTCTATGCAAGCGGAAACATATAGGCTCTAAGGCGGATCTATTTGACCCGTAGCCGCGCTCGTCGTCTTGCGTGCTGCATTCGCCGCCGCGGCTGTTCTCCGGCAGCCGCAGCGATTGGAATCAGGAATCAGTGCGCCACATAAATCACAGGGCTCCACTTTTGACGGTGTCGTTTTCGACTATTCGCGTTCTCTGCAACAACAATTGGTGTACGTAGCATTATCTCGCGTGAAGACACTCGACACTCTGTTCATAGACTCGCAGCGAACTGCCCCCACTATTTTCATTTTGATAGAAGAATGAACGCATTCGGGAGCTTCTTTTCGGGAGCGGGCGGTAGTAGGAAGCGGCGAGAAGGTCTTCTTTCCGGATGTTGAGCCCGCTAAGCTGGCGGGGAGAAGCCTACGGCTCACGGTTCGCGCTTCAGTGAGGCAAACCACTGCTGGCGAGCCATGGTTCCCGCCGTTTCGAGAGGATTTCCTGTGACCCACGACCTTGTTCCGGGTTTTCTAGTGACCAGCAAAGAGATGAGTCCTGGGAAGCTCATTGAAATATTGATCTTCATAGTTGAAATAAAGATCGGATTCATAATTTATAAATGATATCTCTGAATAAGTGAGCCATCCTCCGCATTCACAATGCCAATCTAACAGGGTGGCTGATTGATTGACAAGTAGCAATGGGCCCACGAGAGAAGTCCGGCCCAGTATTCGGTTCGGAATAATCAAGTCAACGGAATCCTTCATACGGTGTCTCCGGCCAATGACCGCTCTCTTGCATATCTCCATCAGCCCGCTGTTCTCACGCTGAAGACATCCCAGCAGATTGAGCGGCCTAATCACTACTCGGCTCCGTTTCTTCAATGATGAGCATGATTAATGATCATAAAATCTCGCATTTTCCGATGAAATCGATTTTTGCGTTTCTTGTTCCGCTCTCAGCGTATTTTTGGGCGAGGACCCCGCGCCGCAACAACTTCTACCGTGGATGCTCCGCCACTTGTCCTGGTGGGTCTGTCATCAGCCTACCCGGGAGCTCCTTCCCCCCCTGATGATATTTTTCCCTCACTTCGATCTTAGCGACGGCGGGTTTGGGTATTGCCGACCTCGGGGATTGAACTCGGGACCTTCCCGACGAAGGCGGCGTCACGGCAGCGCACGACTGCACGAGGGGCACGCGATGACCACCCAGCTGCAACATTTTATGCGGAATTCTAGGGTGATCTCACAATGGTCGGGTTACGGTAGAAATAGCCACATGAGGATGTCTCCAATTAGGCAAGGGTTGATGCAAAGTTTTCCTCTGAGCTTACGTCTCATCACCTCAGACGAACACAGAGGGAATCGGAAATGGCACCGTTATAGAAGGATACGGGCGGGATGGGGGGGGGGCGGCTCGAGGGCGAACCGAGGCCGATGTGAGTAAACCCTTATGAGAAACAGTTAGAGAGGGACCCTCATGAAGGCTTCTTTCCTCTGGGGATCAGTTCGTCGCGACCCAGGCATCGGAGGATATATTCCCGCGGTGATTTGGATTTTGAATTCAAAATTCAAATATTGCTTCTAGAGCAATTCGGCCCTCGATTTCCGTTGCAAAAACCACTTGGGAGCGTCACGTGTGATTCCCGAAAGCTTCAACTGTGGAAATTCTCTTCAGAATTAAAGCCAGCTATACCGTGAGGAAAGAGCGCGGATTCTTC